ATTTTGAAGATATTTATCCTACCGAAGTCAATACCACATCGTATGAGTCTGATACCTAGGAAATTCTTAGCATCTCGTTTCAGCGACTGCCACACAGCATTGTAATGTCTAGAGTGGCAAGAAGAGACGGACATTCAGCTATAGCAATGATCACAAAATGTATATGTAAGTGTGAAGATACGTATGTGGCAAACATGATGGTCCCCGCGGATGGCGAGACTGCGATATTCTCGGGCTTCAGAACTAAATGAACGGGCGGCGCTGAAGGAAATCTATCTCCAGGCGGCGTGACAGAATACGAGCGAGCAAGCGGCGCCCAGGGAAGAGCATCCTCAGGCGGCAGTGTAATGGCTATGACTTAAAGTTGAATGAAATATCGACAGAATTTCTCTGGTTTATTCTAGGATAGAAGCTGTGGGAGTTTAAGGTGTTGACCGAGAAATGTTACTAAACATATGAATATGGAAAAAGTGTACACGTAGGCATTCTGTGAACAGAACGGCTTTCTTAAAGTTCCTATGGCCACATGATCGGGCGAAGACATTAAATATGTTTATACCACTAAAAAGCTTCGTGATAAGAGGGCATGGTGCTGGAAATACGTGAACATATTGAAAGCTAGAGTATCACTGGAGAGACGCACGGCTGACGAGGCAGAGAGCGGCCGCCTCTGAGCGGGGGGACTGGGAGCGCTGCGTGGCGAGCAAGGTCATGGCGCGGCAGATTAGGGTGGTGGTCCTGCATGGTCGCGGCTGCGTGGATGATGATAAAAAACTTTGTTAACATTATAAATACTATTGGTGGGGCACGCCACTTGAGCCGCGCCACGTGGCAAGCAACAGCCACGTGGTTCTTATACGTGCTTGAATACACAGTGTAGTCTAGAGTTGTAAGAAGACGCGGACATTCAGCTAAAACAATGATCACAAAATGTATATGTAAGTGTGAAGATACGTATGTGGCAAACATGATGGTCCCCGCGGATGGCGAGACTGCGGCGTCACAGAATACGAGCGAGCGAGCGAGCGGCGCCCTGGGAAGAGCATCTTCAGGCGGCAGTGTAATGGCTACGACTGATAGTTGAGTAAAATATCGGCAAAGCTTTGGCTTTGGGTTTTCGTAGTGATCACAAATCGTTTTTGTACGACAGTAGATGAAATGTTGCTAAACGTATGAATATGGAAAAAGTGTACACGTAGGCATTCTGTGAATAGTACAGCTTTCATAAGGGACCTATGGCCACATGGTCGGGCGAAGACATTAGATATGTTTATACCACTAAAAAGCTTCGTGATAAGAGAGCATGGCGCTAGAAATACGTGAACATATTGATAACTAGAGTATCGACAACAATAATGATTACAAAGGCAGTTATACAGATACTGCAATTTCTGATGAACATTTTGAATATATACAAGATATGAGTTTACATATAGTCGTAAAGAAATCGGCGAGAGTGACAATAAGAGTTGGAATTGCTTGCTCTGGAGGCAGCTTATCTGTGTCGCCTCGTTCGGGGCGCAGGACACGTTGGCGCCGGCGATAGACAATAGAGTACAGTGCACGGCGGTAATAGATACGTACGAGCGGCGACGCTGAATGAGAACCTAGTCATGCAACTCATATACTGCGTGGCGAGCAACGTCATGGCGCGGCAGATTAGGGTGATCTTCCTACATAATCGCGGCTGCGTGGATGATGATAATAAAAACTTTAACATTATAAATACTATAGGTGGGGCACGCCACTTGAGCCGCGCCACGTAGCAAGCAACAGCCACGTGATTCTTATACGTGCTTGAATACACAATATAGTCTAGAGTGGTAAGAAGAGACGGACATTCAGCTAAAACAATGATCACAAAATGTATATGTATGTGTGAAGATACGTATGTGGCAAACATGATGGTCCCCAGTGATATTTGAGGAAGAGCGAGATACTGATCACCGATTTTCTCCCTCACACTCGGGTCTCGGGTGTGGTGCGAGGCGAGAGGAGGCTGGGGAGACGCACGGCTGACGAGGCAGAGAGCGGCCGCCTCTGAGCGGGGGGACTGGGAGCGCTGCGTGGCGAGCAAGGTCATGGCGCGGCAGATTAAGATGATGTTCGTGCATGGTCGCGACTGCGTGGATGATGATTTAATAACCTTTGTTAACCTTACAAATACTATAGGTAGTTATTATGAAGGTCAGTAGAAGCTCGAATGATGGGCCCTACAAGAGTATAGTATATGGCGAGCTTAGGGAGTAAGGTAGACAGCCAAGATGTCTTGACTCCTTTAGTGTGAATAGTGCTGGAGCGCGGCTGTCCCTCGCAGCGGGGTGTTGCTCCTCGGCTCCCCGCTGGGAGTCTGCCTGTCATCGCCTAAGGTCTAAGGGTCGCTATAAGTCACGTATTTAGCATGTGCAAACCGGTGATTAACAAGGAAGTGTTGCAGCAATACATAGCTCTTGCGGAAGGGGAAAGACAGCAAAACACTGGAATGGCTAGTGTTGTAAGA